CTCCTACCCCCTGACCTTTGCTACCAGAAGTCCCTCCCCTTGCCCCCCCCGCCCACAAGGTACTCCTTTCAACAAGAGTCATCTTGGAACCAGGAAAATACCAAATTACATTCTAAAAATAAAAAAAATCTACTACAACATTCATTAATTTCATTTAAAAAACTTTTTTGTCCTGATTTATATGCATTTGTGTAGTGTACATAGAGGTGATTGCATAATAACTTAAAATGAAGTCTTATTCTTGTATATTGTAGAGAGGTGAGGGTAGCTGGGTATAGGTTTGTGTGTGTGTGGATATGTGTGTGGGGTTTGTGGGGGGATGGATAGGTGTGGGGGTTGTGTGTGTATGTGGGGTGGGGGATGTGTGTGTGTGTGTGTGTGTGTGTGTGTGTGTGTGTGTGTGGATGTGGTGTGGGTGGGTATGAATGTGTGGAGGGGGAGGATTTGCTCACAGCCTCCCTGTGGCAGGCAGAGTCCCTCCACCCCCCAGCACTTCTCTAAGCCTGGGCTTGTGCTCCTGCTGCTTCCAGACCTGGGGCACCAGCACGGCCCCTTGCTCCTGCTTGCAGCCATTTCCCCCTCCATCTGCCACCACTGCCCTTCTGCAGCTTCCCCATTCCCCCCTCCCCCCCTACTCACTGCTCCAGCACCCCATCCCAGCTGCATGGCCAAGACTGCAGAAGGAGCTGGACCAGCTGGCTGGCACCACATGGAGCCAGGCAAGAATTGAAGGGGCCCGGGCAGCTCCTGCTGCATTCTGTGGCCCAGTGCTGTAGCCAGGAACCATGTGGTGCTGCAGTGGCAGGCAGGGGGTGAAGAGGAGTGGTGGCAGCAGTAGGCAAATGGTTGCAGCAGGCAGGGGCAAGTGGGAGTGAGCAGGCATACAGAGCACAGCAACAGCTGGGTGGGAGCACAGGGCCATGTCAGTGTACTGGGGTCAGCACCAGGGGGGCCCAGGAGTGGGGCATCAAGAACACAGGATGGGGGCCAGCAGGGGCTCTATTGAGCCGTGCCGGGCTGCGCCAGCAGGGAGAGGGGGACCTGGCCTGACTTCAGAGCCCCTGCCAGCCTGGGCCCCATGCTCCAGCTGCCCCACTCTAGGCCCACGCTGGCCCTAGCTCTAGTGCACTGGTATGAACCCCACACTTGCACCCAGCTGTTGCTGTGCACCGTGCACCTGCTTGCTGCCCCTTCCCATGTGCCTACTATTGCTTTCACCCCTTCCCTGCCCACGACTCCTGCAGCTCCTCTCCAACCCCATGTTGGCCACTCCAGCACCATGTGGTTCCCAGCTGCAGCACTGGGACCACAGCAGCTGGCTCAGCCCTACTCCAAGGACTGGGGCGATTGCCCGTGGTCTTCCCCTGCCTCCCCCCACCTCTTATCTGAATTTCCCTCCAGTGCAGGGAGGCAGGAAAAGCCCCACGGTCTTAGGCCAGAACCCTCTGCTAGACAGGGCCAGGCAGGCCTTGCTTCTGCAGCCGCTTAGTCCTGCTTGTGGCTTCCTCTGGGTCCTACGGCACCTGGCTCCTGTCCTCTTTGACAGGTAGTCAGGGGCAGATTAGTAGTAATTTTCTAAATTTTTTAGGGGCCCCACAGGCCAGATAGAATGGCCTGACAGGCTGAATCTGGCCTTCCATATATTGGTCATCCCTGCTCTAGGTTACACAGGATTGTGTGTGCTCCTCCTAGTTTTCTACATTGATGTTGAATGACTTCATATAATTTCTGCATATATTGTGGTACTACTATAGAGCAACCTCACTTTCTAAAGGCACCTTGAAGCTCACTATACAAAATATTCTTGGGGATACAGTGTCCTCCCATTCTCATGGGATGGTCAATCCATTGCAACCTCCTCTTTTCACTAGTAGTTTTTAAGTGTGCCAGTCCTACACGTTCCAGTACCTCTGTGTTTGGTATTCTGTCTTTTCATTTATTTTCAGGATATACATATTTTTAAACTGTTTATATTTTTATATATTATTGTGGTAATACTGCTGCTACAGGAAGTGCCTCTGTCTCCAGACATGTATTAAGGTACCTAATAAAAAAAGTGCTCTACAATTTTTCTTATTTTCTAAACAAGCAAGGTATGCACAAAGGCCTTTCTTAGCAATACAGAAAAGTCTCACAGCAATTTATTATATTTTGATATAGTAAAAGTTTTGTTCTTATCATTTTGGTATTCTGTATGGTTACATTTCAAACTGAGGTAGGACACAACTTATGGAAAATGAAGAAGCCTCCTTTCCAATGGTTCCTTAGCTGTGCTTCTTGAGGTGGAGTTAAATTGTGTCAGATATTTCATATAGTCACCCAAGTCTATTCACTCTTACTTGTTTTAGAATTGTACCCACTAGTTCCTGAGAGTCTCATCCTGACTTGCACTGGCAGATAAGATAGTGGAGCCACTGAAAGCAGTTGCCTTTAATGATAGATCTGATCTTGGATACATATTTCAAACAACAATAAAATACCATGGTTCAACTATAGAAGGTGCTGAGAACCTCTTGAATGATACTGAGCTCACTGGCAATCAAGGATATTTGTGTGCCATCAGGAAGCACCTAGCACATTGCAGGAACAAGCTCTAATAATATAGGTCATTAAAGATTTGACAGATACTCATTAGTCAATAGCAATTGCTCAGAATAGACAAGTTTTCTGCCTTTAATACATATTGGATTAATCCAATACTCTACACTAATGAAAGTTTACTTTGATCAGATTCCTAGTTTCTGTCTTCTAAACTACTAGATCTCATTGCTTCTGATTTCCTGATAATGACCATAGCAAATTAATTTAGCATTTGGTTACTCTGTAATGACAGAGTTTTTAATTAGTTAGTGAAGGCTGTACAGGTGTCAGCACTAAGGCAGGACTTTTTTTAGGCAGGACCATCTTTGCTTCCTAACTGCTAGCAATTAACATATGCAGAAAGAGGCAGGCAGAGCATAAACCTGAAGAAATAAGATTATTTTTATCTTTAAAGGAAAAAATGTTTTTTTATGCAGGTTCTGATTAACTTACTGTAATGTATAAAGAGAGGGAAAGACAGAAGCTCACCAGTGATGCTCAGTATGCAAGGGAAATACAGCACAAGATGGATTCAGAGCATCAGGTATGCCCAGAAAGCAATAAACTGGTCAGTTACTTGAGTTATGTTCAGTCTCATGGAACATTGGCAAATGCTTAAACATCCGAGTGCAATTGTTCTAAACTGTTTATTTCTCATAGGAAATTTGTATTTTGTTACATGATATTCCATTATTCCACTAGTACAAGTGCAGATTAACAAATCACCACAGTGAGGACACAATACTTTCCGATTTGCTTTTCAAGTCTTTTTCCATTTAAATAAAAGCACTTTAGTAGAATTATAGTGGACCACTGGGATTACTCTAGTGGACTATGTGTTGTGCACTCTTCATTTACCTCACATATGTAAAATTTAGTTGTGTGCTTTAGGTACGGTGTTTGCCGACATGGGGCCACAGGACTCAGAGTAAGATCCCAATCAAATGTGTGCCTTCCTTAGGCATCACAGTACCTAAAATTTGGGCACCTTGCCCCAGAAGGGTGGTTTAACACAACAGAATTAGGCACCTAGGATCCCTACAAGTGAGTGGGGAGATCTAGGCTCCTCCCAAAGGTGCAAAAAAGTGCCCACAGTGAGCCAATGGGAAATGCTAGGCCCAAGGTACATCTAAAGTCCTGATCCTCTGTGGAGCTTGCTTCTGTCTCAGGTGTACAGAGATAGGCACCTCTCTCACCCAATACCAAAGCATCTAAATGGGTGGGACCTATCTAACTAAAAACAGTATTAAGCACAGCACCTCTCATCCTCTCTGAAATGGGGTTGTAATGGTTGATGATGGTTCTACCCACTTTTTGCCCATTAGCCATTTGGTTAAATCATTTGACCCTTAAGTGTGCAATTTGAAGTGTATATTTTAGGCCCTTCACAGCCTTATGAGAATCAAGCTCACATTTCTCACTTTCCAAGTAACTCTTAGGTTCTTGAGTATAAACATTCTAACTAAAATTAGTGCTGAAGATTACAAAATACATAAAATGTATTAGGCATGTACTATATTTACCTGAATCCAAGATTACTTCAAAATTAAGATGACCTCTTAATAATTAGATCTATATATGGAAAATTATAACTGTGTTAACATTTTCCATGTATAGAATCCAATTATTACAGGATTGTCTTAAATTTGTGGCAGGGAAAGCAGTGGTAGGAGGGTAAAAAGCTGGGAAAGCAACTCCTGTGCTACTTGTTTCCCCCAGAAAACTGCATCTTTTGGCACATGCCCCTCTTGCCACTTACCTTCCCCGCCAGTGCCTGTCCTCCACAGCCACTTGATCTCACCCTTGTGCCTGCTCCCTCTTCCACTTACCTGATGTGGCAACTCTAGCTCTGGCTCTAGCTCAGGCCTGGGACTCAAAGCATAGTACCATTGGCCCAAGCCAGCAACAGTAGAGATGGCAGCTCCAGGCCTGGCCACTTTCCTGGCCCTGGGTCAGGGCCAGAGCCAGAGCCATAGTAGCTCCCCCACTGCTGCATGACCTCTGGTGCAGGATAGGGAGTATGAGGTGTCCTCTGCACACTATCCACTCCACACAGCAAGATCTCCCATGTGTACTCTGCCAGCATTTTACAATCTGCCCTGTACTTCCCTCACCCTGCATGGTGATTCCCCCAGGCTTCCCCACTTTACCACACAAATTCTTCCATGCTCTCCCCCAGCACTGTGCAATCTGCCTTGTGCTTCCCCACAATACTGCACAATCTCCCATGTTTTGCACAGTACTGGAAAAATCTCTTCCATGCTCCCCCCCAGCACTGCATGATCTACCCCTCCTCCTTCATTCAACAGTACTAAGGAGAAAGATACCTTGCTTTGGATTTATATAAATATGATACTATAACAATCCTCAGTGTACTCATGGTTAAACTGCTTGTCACATTGTGGCTTTGCGACCTACCACACTTCCAATAATGCATGGTTTAGAATGGCCAATTTGTGCTTGAAGCAGACTAGGAGGGCCAAAGCAATATTTCTTTTTAAGATACCTTGCAGTTCCCTAATCCTTGGCTGGCAGGCACTAGCCCCAAGTCCTGACACACAACTCCACAAGTCATTCTGGCAGCTGGGGATCAGCAGAGTTAAGAGGCAGTCTGGTTCTTTATCCCAGTCATGCCACATGTACCACCCCCAACCTTTGGAACATGTAAGAACCCAAATGTGCCAATCCTGTACTATTGAGGATTCCTTTTTATCTAAGGAAATCCTCAGGCAACTGGTTTCTTTAATGCTGCAGCTATTCCATCTTGGTAGACCAGTGCAGTGACAAAATGTTCTGGGTTCAGAGGATTTGGCTGTGGAATCAGATTAATCAGTCTGACTATTCTGCAGGTACATTGCAAGACCTACCTACCTGAAGAAAACTCTTCCATAATTTTCCAGCATGGTGGTAAATAAAAAACAAGTACACAACCCCCCCCCCCAAAAAAAAACAAACAAAAACTCTCAACCAAACAAAACACTCTGTTCCCCAAGAGAAGTCTCTGTATCAAATGAAGGGAGAAGAGTAAGAAACACCATAACAATCCATTGGACACCTCACTACGCATGTTTCAGTGCACTTTGATTCTGTGATGATGGGCATTATATAAAATCCTGAAGTACATGCACACATGCACATACCCAGAGTAAATCTGATGAGCTGCTGCTGCTGTTTGCATTTACCATGATTACTGAATTACCAGGGCAGTTAATTATTCCCATCAGTGGTGGATTTAGTTATTCAACAGATTAATACTTTTTCATGTGATGTGTCTTATGAAGAACGTGAATACAGAACACTTTGAGATGAGATCATCTTGTCCAGGTGCTCTGTAATTGAAATTAAGCAGCAAGTTATCCAGAAGGAAAAATATGTTTTGTTCTTTAGGCTTGCCTAAGACGACAGGAGCAGAATAGAGAACAGGCTGAGAAGAGACGAGACCAACATACCAGGCCTGAACAGAGAGAGAAAACCCTATCTTTCCTCTCTTCTACACGCAGTTATGAAAGACCATGGATATCAGCTGTACCAGTTACTAGACAGGTACTTAAACTATAGGCACACAGGTCTTCGTAATTTAAAACATACAGTCAAGTGGCAGAGAACATTGTAGTGGAACAGCTTCTCACCATTACATAGTTTCCACAATAGAAGCAGCAATTAGCTTCTGGAATGGTTGACGAGAAACAGCCATAAAATTACATTTATGTGAATCCTGTGACAATGTTGCATTCCAGCAATTATTTGTTTTCTGTAAAATTATGGACGAGCACACTTGTATGAGAGCTTCTTATTAAACTGAGTAGTAGGATATGATGGGGCCATCTCACAGCCAGTTTAATCACTGGCCCACCCACCTGTCTAGGGCAATCTGCCCACCTGCCTTGCCTTTAATACAGCCGATTAGTTGTTTATAAAATGGGAGACTGCACATTTACTGCCCAATGCCAAGGGCATAATACATGGCTCCAAACTTCCCTTTATACCGTGTCCCATGCCTCACAGATGACATCACTATATGGCTCCAGCCCCCCAATGGACTTCACTCTATACCTGTCTGGCATTCAGACCTCAACTGGATACCCCCTTCTCAGGCAGTCTACTCCACCCTCATTCTGGGCTGCCAAGCTCCCTGAACCCTTCTCCCTCTCAGCAGTGGCCTCACTTTTAGAGCATGTTGGAACCCCAGGCCCCTGGCTCTGGGCATCTTCACAGTGGGCACTCTGACCCTTTGACCATCCTGGTCCTGGCCCCAGCATTGACTAGTCAAGGGTATCTCTAGTCAGGTTATTGAGCCACTTGTCCTCTCTTTCTCATACAGGTCCACCTTCTCAGGCCCCTCCAAATCCAGTTCATTCAGTCTCTAAGCCTAGCCTATGCCACAACCCTTCAGGCCTACCCCTACAGACCCTATTGTACACAGCCTTCTCACACACCCTCACTGGGCCCACTACTCACCACACTGGGGCTCCCAGCCTTATGTTCCTTGGGTCCCAAGCCTGATGACACAGCTGCACCCTTCACCTGTCCCCTCTCTGGTCATGGGGGTTGGGGCTATATGGCACCTCATACTTGCCTTTCACTAGGGAAGCACTGATGTAGCATTTCATGGGGACCATTCCACCACAGGCAGCCCCACCATACCACCCAACCCTAGCAGGGTGTAGTTTTAGGTCATTCCCCAGGACTAGGACCCCTCCCCTCCATCCCCACAGTTCCTACCCTTAACTATCAGGTGCTCTGGGAGCATCAGCTCTTCAGCTGGCCAATGTTACTCCAGCAGCATCCCTACAGCAACTACAAACTCAGCTTTGAGGGCCTGGGTTTATATTGAGGCTGCTCAGCCCCATCCTCCAATCCAGGAGCCCTCCCATGGTCATGTGACTGCTTCATTAGGCTACATCGCACCTGCTGGCTGCTGCTCCATGGCCTGCTCAAACCTCTTAAAGTGACAGGCACCAAAGGTGCCCAGCCGCACAGGAGTAGCAGTTTCTGTTCTGTTCCAATATAGTAGGGGCAGGCAACATACAGCCTGTGGGCTGAATCCAGCCCACTAGGCCATTCCACCTGGTCTTCAGGGCCCCTAAAACATTTAGAAAATTAATATTTATCTGCCCCTTACTGCCTGTCAAAGATGACAGGAATCTGGGGCAGTAGAACCCAGGGGGAGCTGGTGGCAGAACTAAACAGCCACAGCAGCAAGTCTCACCCAGCTCCACCCCCCGCTCCACCCCGAGCCCCAGCCGGAAGCCTCTGCCTGGCAGGGGCTGCTAGAAGCTTCTGGCCTGGGGCTGTTCCTGCCTCCCTGCACTGAGAGAAATGCAGATGAGGAGGTGGGGAGGGATGCAGGGGAGGACCATGGGTGATCTCCCCAGTCCTCAAGTCTAGCCTGGGCCCGCTTCTGCGGTCCCAGCACTGCAGCTGAGAACCATGTGATGCTGGAGCATAGTGGGTGGGGATGGGGAGCAGGGAAATGACTGCGGCAGGTGGAGGGAAGGGGCAGCAAGTGGGCATGCGGAGTGCAGAAACAGCTAAGCAGGGGCTCAGGGCCAGCGCCAGCAGGGCTCAGAGTGGGGTGGAAGGAACGCGGGGCCCGAGCTGCCAGGGTCTCTATGGAGCCAGGTTGGCTCCCTCCTCTCCATCTGAGCAGCACAGCCTGGCTCCATAGAGCCCCTGGCAGCCCGGGCCCCATGCTTCTGCCGCCCCGTTCTGGGCCCCACCATGCTGACCCGGTGCACTGGTGTGGACCCCATGCTCCCACCCACATGTCACTACACTCCGTGCACCTGCTCACTGCCCCTTCTTGCCTGCCTGCTGTAGCCATTTACCCACTTCCCCCCTCCCACTGCATTCCTGTATCACACGGCTCCCAGGTGCAGCACTGGGACCACAGGAGCAGCTGGATCATGGTGCTGGAACAGCAGAGTGGAGGGCGGGGAGTTGGAAAGCGGCAGGAGAAGGGCAGCAGTGACAGGCAGGGGGCAAGTGGCAGTGAGTAGGAGCATGGGACCTGCGCCAGTGCCCCACAGCCAAGAATGGCAGGAGCAGAGAGCCTGGGCTTGCAGGAAT